CAAAAAATGTGCTCCCATAAAAAAAAAAAAAAGATTATTCTGACTATTATTTCATATGTCAAGCTTAATCTGAGATGTGTAAATGTCTCACCCGATGCCCGGCTCCAGGTATGTGGGGGGATACATGGGCGTCGGGCTGCAGAAACAAGACAGAAACCAAAAAAGAAAACATGAAAGATCATGTCAAACCTCATAAAGTTCACATAACATGCTTTATAAACGCCACACAGCCCTAATGAGGTCATAAAACAGACTGTAACACTCACACACACACACACACACACACACACACACACACACACACACACAAGTTCAGACACTGTGTGAACAAGTGCAGTTTGTGGCACCATCACAGCCAGGAAGAGAGTCGTTTTCTGCATTTATCAGTGTGCCACAGCAGATATGACACCCACTCAACTTTACTGCCCTGCCACAAGGGAAGCCCCACCCACTTCCTGGACGCGGTCCAATTCTAGACATTGATTGACAGCTGGTTTTCCAGCACACAGTGCTTCCTGCTCCCGCTATCTGACAGAAACATCCACTGACTGCTGATGCAGCTGAACGCTCTTCAGTCCTCACAGACGCTTACAGGAACTCACACCACAGCATCCCAGCATGCACTGATCTGAAACGCTCTCTCATGCACATCATGAGTTATTCTTTATGGATAGTTTTTAGCACTATATACTTAAAATGGAGTTATAATATCTCTTGATTCTGAGCTCATACGGGTGATACTGCTTTTGATATTTGCTGTGAATGACGTTGAAACAGACGGACTCACCCCACGTCTCTGTCCAGCATGGTGCCGGGGTGGAAGGGGGGGAAAGCGCTTCCGTTGGGGGGCTCCTTTGGGGAGTACAGCTTGAACGACTTGGAGGAACAGCCTGAGCGAGGAGAAAGAGAGAGATGCACATGTTCAGCTGTGATTCGACAACAGAATTATTATCAGCATCATTACTCCAGTCTTCAGTGTCACATGATCTTCAGAAATCATTCTAATATGCTGATTATTAGAATTATACCTCTGTAAATAAATACAATATAATGCACCGTGCACCGAAATGAAAATTCTTGGCCGAAGCCGAAACTGAACAAAATGAAACACTGGGCCGAATACGCTTTTTCGAGTTTTTTTTCTCATGTATTTTGCCAATTTTTTGCACCATTGCACAAATTAAATAGCCAAAATGTGCTTTTTACGGGTTTGTCTTGCTTTTGAAAGAAAAAATAAATTACAAAACTACAATTTAAAAATATTTAACACTGAACATTTCTAATATGCTGATTATTAGAAACATTTCTGATTATTATCAGTGTTAAAACAGTTGTGCTGTATAGTGTGTGTGTGTTGGGGGAGGGCAGTACAGTGACTGTCTCACACACTCGAGCAGTAAAGACCCTCCATAAACAGTGCACAGGGGCAGAGGTCAGCCACACCCCTCACCCTCGCCATCCCGCCAATTAAACGCATCTATAACACGATGCATTCAGCCACAATGAGGTCACGACCCGTCGTCGCGGGAACAGCTCCGCCTCATAACGACCGCTCGACGTGTCTCGCAAATAAATCTGAGAGCTGTCAACGTCACGGCGCATCGTAAAACAGAGAGTCGTAAAGCACAGCAAGACAGACTCTAATTGAATTACACAAACAACACAAGAACGAAGGTGAAAAAGAACATCTGATCATTTCACAGTAACATTCAAAAACACAACAAACTACAGGTACTGTATTCTGGAATATGTTTGAGGTTAAAAAATTGTTTTAAATAAAATAATTCAATAAATAAAAAAATAAAAAAATTAAAAAATAAAAAATTACAAAACAACAATTTAAAAATATTTAACACTGAACATTTTTAACATTCTAGCAGACACTATACCAGCACAATTTAGCTGAAAATGAATAAGTTAGTCGAATTATATTTTTTTGCCCATCAGACCCCCTTCTTGAATCAGGCATGTATTTTTAACTGTACAATTAAAAGCAGCCTTGCTGAGCAGAAGAGCCTTCTTTTAAAACATTAGAAAGTATTACAGATCCCAATTTGAACACTATGTGTGATGTTATAATAAATGTATTAACAGAGCTGTTGTAATTATTATCATCATTATTATTGTCTTACTTTTTATTTTATTTTACAAAACAACAGTAAAATTACAATACTAACATTTATGAATGTTCTTGCTTTTTCTTTTATTTTGGCAGAAACGTGCAGGAAGACCTCAGTGCTTCTTTTTGTTGATAGAAGATTTATAAATGAGTCTCATTACGAATACGTCGCACGTCTCGCATTGTCACGTGACTTGTAAAAAATCATAAAAATGTGACTGAGCAACTGACGAGTAACGCTGGTTCAGCGTTAGCTGGTTGCTATTTGATCGTGTCACGTGAGTATTGTTCGGTACAGTTTATTCGGTCTTTTCGCTTATTCGAAAGAGCTTTTTTTGTTATTTTCGGCCGAATAATTTTGGTTACCGAACATTCGGTGCATCCCTATAATAAATAATTTATATATATATACAGTGGGTACGGAAAGTATTCAGACCCCCTTAAATTTTTCACTCTTTGTTATATTGCAGCCATTTGCTAAAATCATTTAAGTTAATTTTTTTTCCTCATTAATGTACACACAGCACCCCATATCGACAGAATTGTTGACATTTTTGCAGATTTATTAAAAAAGAAAAACTGAAATATCACATGGTCCTAAGTATTCAGACCCTTTGCTCAGTATTTAGTAGAAGCACCCTTTTGATCTAATACAGCCATGAGTCTTTTTGGGAAAGATGCAACAAGTTTTTCACACCTGGATTTGGGGATCCTCTGCCATTCCTCCTTGCAGATCCTCTCCAGTTCTGTCAGGTTGGATGGTAAACGTTGGTGGACAGCCATTTTTAGGTCTCTCCAGAGATGCTCAATTGGGTTTAAGTCAGGGCTCTGGCTGGGCCATTCAAGAACAGTCACAGAGTTGTTGTGAAGCCACTCCTTCGTTATTTTCTGAATACTTTCCGTACCCACTGTGTATATATATATATATATATATATAAATAAATATTCACACAACATTGGCCATTTCTGGATGCTAAAACAAACATAAAAATTATTTACCAAGTAGGTGCTTTTAACCAAAGTGACTTACAAATGGCAATGAAACATAACCAGACAATGAAGCATGTGTTTGATAAGAAACATGAAACATGCTCATGGATATCTGTCTAAAAGAAACCCACATACACTGTAACCATTAAACATGTTGCTGAATTTAAAAGCTGTGGAAAACGTATAAAATCCGCCTGTAAGCTTGAAGCAGCAACATGCATTAGATTATTTTCACGCATCAGACACCCGATAAACACACTGGGCCTACCTCTAAAAGACTGTACGAGTGGACAATTACGGCATTCTTTGGTCAAACACGCGAGCGTTTTCAAGAGAGACTCAGAGCAAATGCTGGACAGTCCAAAACTCAATCTGAAAACATGAAAATCTCAGCGTCCCGGCATCAGAGCACATCCTTCATTAAATATTCATAACAGACTTTGAGCCATTAAATATTCACTGGGGACGACACTGGACACAAATCCCTCTCACAACAGCGCTACGCTTATCAATATTACACTGGAAACAAGCAGCACTGCTGCAGGTCTGATGAAGGCTTTCGAAGAACAAGTAAGGAAAATGTAAGTAATAATAAATAGAAGGGAACACAATACGTCAATATGGTCTCTTAATGTAAATGTCTTGTATTAGCAACACTTCAAAGCTTGAAAACAACAACTTTCAACAGCGGCAAACAACTTTTCAATGCAGTTTCCAAATTAACAATAGCTTAAGGCTTGAATAGCTTTGCTCCAAACCACCAGAATATGGAAACTTTTACAGTATCTTCTAATCGCATTGCAAAAAAAGTGCTATTCTTCCTTAGTATTTCTTTCTCGTTTTCAAGTACAAATGTGTAAAGATTTAAAATTAAGACACATTGCTGGAGATGCACAATAACAGAAGACAGAATCTTGTTTTATGAAAAATTGATAAAAATTAGGTTTCTCCAAACAACATGTCAAAATGCATGATTCTGATTATTTATCAATGGTTTTATGAAATGCAGCAAGATGAATTCGACCATGCATGTGTATAAATCTGAAATAAATAGGTTTAAAGAAGAAATGAGCTGATCTAGAGTTTAAAACGGTTGTTCTTGGGCTGAAAAGCTTTTTAAATGTATCTGAAATACAATAAAAAGTCAGTTTACTTCTGAAATAAACAGAATAAGATGGTCTTTGTGAAATAAACTGCAGATTGATCAAAATGAAGTGAGTTTATGATTAAAACATGAACAAATCTGCTGATGGGCTCAGAATTTTTTTTTTTTTAATTCAAAAGCAAAACAAGTTTTTATACCCAATTGTCAAATTTGTTCTTGTTCCAAACATAAACTCACCTAATTTTCAAGACTTCATTTTACACTTGCATCTCAAGTAAATGCATCTTGATTTAAGAATGTTTAGATATTTGTATTGAGAAAAATTAGTTTTTTGTTTATACAACACTTAATGTCATGACTTTATGAATTTAAGACATTCTGCTGTGATTTAAGACCTTAATCTGTGTCTTTAAAGACACGAAAAAACACCTTTACAGTTCACAGATCAGCGATACGCACACGGATATCATAGTGCTGGGCGGTATGACCAAAAATTTATATCACGGTATTTTTCAGTATGAATATTCTATGGAAAAAAGCCGCTAAAAGGGTCTGAAAGTTGCTAAATCTAGTGCTAAAGTCGCGCTCGTGTGTGTGAGACGCGGGAGCTGATGGCAGCGGGCGGTGGATATTTGTGGCGGTCAATGTGGATATTGTGGATGAGTTCTTCTGTGTCATCACGTTCTATTAGTTCTACAGCTTCAGTTTCTGAACTTTCACGCTTAGTAACACATACAGCTGTTCCCTCACCACAGTGCAACAGTGAAAAGAGACCCGTTTCAAACAGTGTCACGTTCCCAACGTTGTTTAAGCAACATTCACCGGTATTTTAAAAATTCATATCATAACAAAAATAAACACCGGTATTCGGTATGAACTGGTATACAGCCCAGCACTAAGATATCACAATTTATAATCAGATTAAAACATCAAACTGACGCAAAGCAGGAAGCACGCAAAAAGAAATCAGCATGTTTAGCCATTTAGTGAGAAAATAAAATCTGAGCATTAGATCTTAAGAGCGTTCCATTAAGAGATATCATTCAACGGCTGCTTAATGACTTTCTAAATCAAATCAAACAAACTTCCCGTGCAGTAAATTGCTTTCTTGAAAACATCAGCAGCAGCGCACATTACTTCAGGCTACAGTCATAATCGAATTCCCGTCTGAATGTGGCACATGATCAGCTGAGTGCATACAGGACAGTATACATCTTTACAGCACACAACATACAGATTACATACAGACATGTTGTGTGGGTTTTCTGGCTGATGGTCCATCGCATGTGAAAAGAGAGAAACGATGATCATCATATGATCTGCTAATGACTGTTTTCACCACAACACCACAGAGACCCTCCAGATGATGCTGATGGCTTCCA